TGTGTGTGTGTGTCTGTGTGTGTGTGTGTGTCTGTGTGTGTGTGTGTCTGTGTGTGTATCTGTGTGTAGGGGGAGAGGGTGTTAACGCAGCTTCGTGTCGTGAGAATCATCTAAGCAGATTTTTGTTCTTCAGCTCTCACTGACATAGGTAAAGACCTAATACTAAGCCACTAATATAGCATAGATCAAAACCAGTATTAAAAGGGGATTTTTTTAAAAATTGAGAAATATATTTAAAACGAGCTTTTTCCTCACCTTGAAGAATGAGACTCTAAAAACTGGCGGAAATGCTCAAATTCCAGTTTGTTGTTCAGTAGGTCGTTAAAGGTGAAATTCTTGTATTCCTCGGGGACGTTACTCCAGTACTCCATGTGTTTAGAGATTTCAGACAGTGACAGCATACCAGCCACAGATCCAGTGGTGTCCTGGTGACAAAACACTTCACAAGACTCTCTTAAATGCAACAAATTGTCTACAGTTTTAAACAGAGAACTGAAATAAGAATTATCTCCTGGGCCTAGGCCAGTTAACAACGGGTAGAATTGGATAAACACACTGGATGTTCATTCTCGGACTCTCAAATTTTCTCCTCCCCTTCCTCTTTTTTTTTTCCCCCCCCTTTTTTTTTTTTTTTTTTTTTGCCTTTTCCAGAGAATTTTGAGTAGTTCCTAAGATTGTTGCAGCAATATGAAAGTCATTTGTTTGATAGAAATACCAAGGAGTCTTGTCAAACACACTGAAGTAACCCAAAAGTATATTTCAGAGCTCAGTTACTCCAGCCCTTTTTAATGAATGCTAGTAAACATTGATAGACATGAGCAAAGTACTCTATGTGCAACTGTGTATGAGCGCAAGTTCACATGGCTGCCTGGGTGTACAAAATATTTGCTTTCAAAACATTACTTTGATTTCTTAATGAAGGGGAAATGCCTTTTGTAATAAAAACAAAATCATAAAATGATATTACCACCAAGAGATAACTACCATCACCATATAGAGTCTCTCAGTCTCTGTGTATAACATTTACATATAAATTATATGTACATTTATATAAGTTCACACATGTAAATAAACTACATATGTGTGGTGCATGCCTTTAATTCCAGCCCTCGGGAGGCAGAGGCAGGCGAGTCTCTGTGAGCTTGGGGCCACCCTGGCTTCCAGCAGCAGTGCCAGGACAAGCTCCAAAGGTACACAGAGAAACCCTGTCTCGAAAAACCAAAAAGAAAAAAGAAAAAAACTATTGTTTTTGAGAAACATTTATATAAAAGTAAAACCTTCAGTTAAACACAAAAAAAGAAACTAAAAATAACCCAAAACCCACTGTTCATAACTCTCTCTCTCCTGTCTGTCTCTCTCAGTTTGGTGAACTCTTTTTGCACTTGTACACGTATGTGCATATATGTAATGTTACCTAAGTAAGATCACAGGTTATGAGTTGGAGGGTTGGTTTTTGCTTTGTCACGGGCTGTGTTTTTGTGGCCCTGGCTGTCCTGGAACTCACTCTGTCGACCGGGCTGGTCTCAGACCAGAGATCGGCCTGCCTCTGCCTCCCGTGTGCTGGGATTAACGTTAGGAGGTTGCGCCACCAACGCCCAGCTTGACATTAGTGGTTTTCTTCCATATATTTTTATATAACTGTATGTCCTGAATAGGTCAATTAACTGCAACTTTCACGTAGATGCATACATTAATTTTATGGTTTTTATGGGACGATCAAGATTTATCTAATCAATACAAACTTGAAAATCTGAGCTGGGCGTGGAGGCACATACGAGAGGCAGTGTCAAGAGGAGGATGAGAGCAAGGCCCTCCTCAGCAACACACTAGGTGAAAGCCACTGTGGTTTACAGCGGACTGTCTCAAAACCAACCAACCAACCAACAAATAAATTTCATAATTTTGTAAGTAAAAATAAGAGTCAATACCCTAACCAACCCTATGATCTCTTTACTGACATTTGCAATTATTTTCCTTATTTTTAAAAATCTGTTGCTACAAGCATGGCAGTTTCTGTTTAGAACATGCAACTGAACTCCTGTAATTTGAGGACAAATACAGTTACCGACATGCAGAAAATGATGGGTACCAATTAAGGGATCGCCATGCGGTTTAAGGCTTAAGTTTCCGGTCTTAGGAAAGTCCCTCTGTCGATTTACCAACCTGGTTTTTCCAGCGATGTTGAATGTGTCGTTATAACACCCCGGCCTGTCAAGTGTAGCGAGC